TCTTTCCCTTCCCTTCCTCCTGGTGTCTGTGAATGAGGTCTCAGACCTGGGGTTGGATGCGAGTGGTGCTGCTCACAAGCACTTGGTACGCATCTCGGGACTGGTACCAGCGTATCTGGTTGTACCTTGCTTGTCCCAATCATCTGAATGACCTTATTAAGTATACTGATAGATTAGGACAAGCAAAAAGTTACTGGGACTTTTCGTATCTAGATGGAAAGGTAATGTTGCTTACATGATTGGTTTTTATTTGTAGAGTCAGTTTTTTAGTACATGGCCAGTATGCAGAATGTTGGTACACAAATTTTAGGCTTTTACATTTTTTGAGTGAAAGTTTTTATTCATCTTTAGGTTTGCATATGAGAGAAAGATACATTGTGGAAAAATGAGTGTGTAAATGTTTTTCATTATAAATCCTTGTGGGGGGATGGTTTTACCAGCTTCCAGAATGTCTCTTTTGGTTAGTTTATTCAGCTATGGAAGAGATTTGAGTAAAAACAAACAAAAAAGTCACTTTTATTCCAATGTAAGCGTGTATTTGCCAGGCAGGTTATAAGGATGTAAGCTACAGCAGTTTAATATTGATGACATTATATTGGCATACCTGGCACAACTTCCCCATGTAGCAAGTGTTCAGGTAAAGGAACCAGACACAGAGGTCAAAGCTTGATTTACAAATGATCTTTTTATGTCCATGCTATACTTCAAGATTATATCACTGGTTACAATTAATCAGCCTAGTGCAAGTTATCCAAGCAGGTTTTTGAAAGACAGTGCATTTACTGGTTTTGTATATTTTTCTCCTAAAACCCTGTATATTTTTCCCCTTTCTTGTGTTTCCAGGTGTTGTTAGCACAAATATAATAATAGGGGCTATTGCTGGCACCATTTTAGTGTTGGCTCTCGTTTTAGGAATAACTGGTTGGGGTTACAAGTAAGTAAATTGTGTTCTTCTTAATACAGTTAAAAAAAATGTTTATTTCATCTGATAGCTGATTATGTTATGAAAAGAACAATTCAAACATAATCTAAAAAATCCAAATTGGATTATATTTATACAGTGACATTTTTATAGTATTAGCATTTTTCAATTCTTACATGTGTATGTGATTTTGGAGAGCTTGATCCAGGTTTGACATTTATTTCTTATTTAGTTATTTCTTTTCTTTTTTTGTAGACGATCAGATTATGATTTTACTGTATCTGACAAAGGAGATACAAGAATACAGCCTGATTCAATTATAAATCTTTCCTAATGACAAAGTAAATTTAGCAAGATTAGCCTTCAGTCAGTCAGTAAAGCATTTAACCATAGGTTTCCTTAAACAGATGTTTATATTCAGTCAGCTTAACCTGAAATTAATTCAGGCATGTTTTTCGGTAAGGGAGAGAGATTTGTAATTTGCAAATAAGGTGCATGTTCTCTCCTGGTGCAGAGCTGTCAGTGTTCCACTCACTGAAAGGCAAAATAGATTATTTTAGCCTGACTGATCTTTTTCAGTTTTTCTCCTTTTGTGAACAACTTCTAAAAACAGAAGGGTTTAGGTTTTTTGCATGTATTAAAAAAAGATTCAAGGTACTTCCTTTGTCACCTGTGTTTGGGTGAGACTGGCTCTTGCAGTCCTTGCTCCACAGGTGTGCTTGGAGGGCAGGGCAGGTTCAGCTGCAGGCAGTGCTGTAGCTGGGACGCGGCCCCAGCGGTTTGGCGTGATGAACTGGCCCGTCCCCTGCTGGTTTGTTAGCCTGGGGTAGGCTGAGGGCAGCTCAGAAATACGTAACAAAAGAAGTATTTGGAAAAAAGCATGAAGATTAGGATAGCAAAAGGTAGGTTATGCTGTCTTGGTATATCGCCCTCAGCTTCTGGCAGTATCTGAAAATCTGGACTTCTATTTTGAGTACAACTCCGAAAGTTAAGGGCTCATTTTGAGATCACAGCTAGCCAGCGGGATTACTTTTTGGAGATGGAGGGCAAGAGTGCACCTTTCACTCGCAGCTTCACAGTGAATAGACTTAAACTCATCACGAACTGCACCTCCAACTCAGCACTGACTTTAGCCATCAACATGAATCTATTTTTCTTGTTTATTTTGATTTCTTGTGTTTATGAGTATGTTTATTTCAGAAGTGTTTTCTGTAGAAATATTTTGAGCAAGAATTTCATTCCGCGTATATTGCTTTTCTCTTCACATTTTTTTTCCTCTTACTGACCATGTATACGTGCATACTGATAACTCGTTCTTCTTTCTTTCTCTTCTCTTTGTATGGAAAGAAACTACAGAAGACAGAGGTATGTGATAAAAGTAATGGAATGTGTCTTAGAAAGCTCTGAAAATAACTTTTCTTCTCTCTTTCTCATATACATGTTATAAAGAAAATACAGTGATCACTATATTTTCTATAAAGAAAATACAGTGATGAATTACATATTTTAAAGAATATTTGCTTGCATATATGAAATTGGTATTTATTCTATAAATGCATTGCTTGAAATGCTGAATTCTCTGGACTCAGTAGCAAAAATAGTGTTTACTTCGGAGACAGACTATTTTATTTAGGAAAACAGGAGAACATTTCCAATAAGAGAGACTGAAAATCTGCTATTAGAGATGAAATTGTTCTTGGGAGGCTGAGAACTGAATAATTAATATTAACATGATGTTCAGGAGCCTTTTGAGACAAATTCATTCCTGGAGCTTCTTTGCAGTTAAAAATACATTGCAGTTAAATTGCTGTGCGAATGAAGAGCCCATTCTTTCCCGCCACCCTGCTCGATTGATTTGTAGCTAAAGCATGGTACCAGCTGCAGCACAGGGCTGAGCTTTCACCCTTTCAAGCTTGTGGCCAAAACCCAAACAGTTCCTCATGACTGGGGCTTGGCTCCTGGAAGACCACCTCCCTTTGACGTCATCTGCCTGGCAGATGGGTCTTCTGGGAAGGAGTTGGCTCCTTCCTCTCCCAGTCCTCCACAGACAAGAGGGTTTCTCAAATTTCCCCGTTTTCTGCCTGCATTACCACCTCCAGGTCCAAGCTGCTGCTTTGTTTGTTGCCGCTACCCTTTGTGCTTGTCCTCCATTTCCACTACTTGTGTAGCGCTTTCTCTGCCAGGCTCAAAATACTTGCAAAAAGCAGAAAAGCTCCGCCAAGTGCTGGTTGCGTACTACGAGGTCAGACAGGTGGCAGGAACGGTAACGTGAAAAAGGCAAAGCTATTGAAGTCAAGCCTTATGGAGAGGTTGGTGGGTAGGAGATGTCACCTGGCACAAGGAGGGCAGAATTGCAGGGTTTGGTGCTGCTTGGTGGCACACGATGTATCTGTAAGTGCAGACTAACATGGCCATCAAGTCACTCCGCTGTGGATGTATCAGCGTTGGCTGAGGACAGAGCAGCCAAAACCTTGAAATACAGAAAGAGACTGCCCCGTGCATGTTCGCATTGGAATACTAGAGAATCTAACTTTCTTGAATTCCCTCATCTCCAGAAATTAGTATATGGACAAAGGTCTGTGAGTTTGCAGTCAGCCTGCAGCTGTGTCTGTGGGCACGGGCAGAGTGGAAACCAGCATAAGCTGAGGCTTTTGAAGATGATGGATGGATCCGTCATTTTTAAGATGATGGAGGTATTCAGCAACTAAATCTCCTTCATGCAGAAAATGAAGTTCTGTAGGCTGACTTCTAAATAGAATAATTTTGGATATGTACAAGGAGTGCTCTGTAAATGGAAAAAACAGACATCCATCAGAGTGTCCTTTTTTTCAGTTGTTTATGATTACTCCTTACATAAAGATGAAAACAGGCCATTATGGTATTTTTGAGCATTACATAAGGAATGAAATTTGGTAGTACTAAGCAACTGAAAAGAGTAAACTGAAAGTAATATAAAGGGCAAATTAGCAACTCTGAACACACCGATGTACCAGCTGAGGAATGGGGCAAGAACTGAGACTCAAGAGATGCTAGAAGAAATAGTGTGGAAGTACGGTGTTACACTAATGATGTATGTGCCATATAATAATATACTTCAAATACTTTAGGAGCATTAGAAATTCGGATATGGAATGAAGAGACCCCAGTCCAGGTCTGTAGTTGGACACAATCTGAATGTGAATCAACCTTCTGATAAATGCGCATCTTAATAGGGGCAGACTGAAGCACAAAGGCCTTGGAAAGTGCAAGGCTGAATAGATAATTAAGCTGCTGATATTATGATATAGCCAACTTTCAAAGCAGCTCCTCGTGCTAGGGAGGATTTTTTCGACTTGGTGGAACTGTAACTGGAATATTTGCACGGCAGTTTTTCTGCTGGCAATGAATTCACCATCTGCAAAAAAGTTGCATAACTTGATTAGGACTTTCTAATGCATAGATAGTTTTATGCACCATAACCGAGCTTCTAGTACTGGAAAAGAGTAAACTGTTGTCAGATATGTGTGGCATTATTTTTGTGTCTCTTGGCAGATTGAGTCTACTGTGGTAATCAGGAGTAGCTGAGAACCTCTGACGCTGGCATTAGTTCCCCTGCACAAGAAAACAGTTCATAAACTGGAGGTTTTTCTCCTCCTGAGGTTTAAACAACTCAACAGGTTGCTATTCTTGAATTCAATAGCATTCACAAAAGTTAAATGGAAAGCACATACCTCAGAAGGAAGAAAGCATTCACTTTTCCTGAACTTTTTGATGCAGGCATGCATCCAGCTCAGGCTGCAGTACTTGTACTGTACCTGGGGGTGCTTTTCCCAACCAGCGCAATGAGCCATTTGAAATGTCTGAACTTGGTTATCCAATGTCTCAAGAACCACAAACTACTCACTTTGAAAATTGTGATCAGAGTTTATCAGTGAAATGATCCTTGTTTTCCCGTACTAAAACCACATAATCCACTTTTCTGCACATATCAGAAGCATGTGGGAGTTTTTTCTCAGATGGTTGAATTATTTATTAATAGGCTTATTGTGTGTGGTTAACAGGTTTGCTCAAGGATCGTTCTCCTTGCCTCTTTCTTTTAAACTAATATTTGTGCATATTTGTGTGCGTGCCGGTGCCTGTCATGTTTTCTGACTCTATGATGTTTATTATACTTCAGACAAATACCCCAGGGAGATTATGTAAAAAAGCCTGGAGAGGCCGACTCTTTTTATAGCGACATGCCTCCTGGAGTCAGCACAAACTCTGCATCTAGTTCTAAGAAGAGGTCTGCTTTTCTGTCGCATTTTCAGATTTCTACCTGTTCCATCACCCATTATTCCATTAGTCAGAACATTTCATTGTTTTGCAGCAGGTTTGATTCTTTCTTCTTTCTTTGTGGAATGTTTGAAATAGCATCCTTTGTGCTTTGATTACTGATTTTTCCCACATGCCCCGAGCTGCTAATTATTACAATTAGTCCAGAATAAACAAGTTTTCCATTGTAAACCAATTTTCGGTTAATCAAATTTTCATCATCTCCCTGCTTGAGAATTGTTTTCAAGTAGACTGTAATAATTGTTGGCTCAAAAAAAAAAAATTAAATAAAAGAACCACAATTTTTAAAATCATGGTCATGTAATCAAGGAAAAGGAACACTGTCTTGCTTCAATAATAGTTGTAAACATCAACTGTTCAATATAAATGTTATTTTATATCTTTATTTGTCAGCATCATTAATTTGCTGAGTTGACCTAGAGTTCTAGATAATATTCTTGCTGTCTCACATTAAAGATGATGGTGCTTTCATTTTACTCCACTTACTTAGACTAGTATATAAATGGTCACCAAGTGTTATTATAGAAAATAATTCTACAAAGACTTTATGTAGTTTTGCGCTTGCTGTTATGAGTAACCAAGGTCATTAGATTTTGCCTTTGATCAGATTTCACAAATTCTGTTATTGTTCCTGTTACTTTAAAAACCTAACAACATTTTAAAATGGAAAATTCAGTGAAAAGCATTGAAAGTCATTTATAATTGCTGAGGTCATTAGGTCGTGATGCTCACCATCACTCTGCAGTTAGAGATCCTTTAATTATGAAAGTCTCCAGCTAGCACTTTAAAACAATTTATGAGAAGCACTATGGAGGGATAGACAATCCTGAACTGCTTCATAAGAAAACTGCAATTCTCAATCCTTGTCTGACTGACCAGTCTATAACTGTGCAGTTGATAAAGCCATTTTCTTTGTTGTTATTTCAAAGAAAGTAAAGAGAAATGTATGGAAGGGATATATTTGCAGTAACATTTGCTATCTGGATATAGCAGCTTGATCCTATATGCAACTTTGTTCAGCCTGTTCTAATGAATATGTTATTAAGAAAACTGTAGTAGTGTATAATTAATTAATGATTTCTAATTTTTAAATTCAGCTTTTTAGATTTGTGAGTGGATAAAGTATCTGTTTTCAGGGACCAAGCGTTAATCTTACATGATACACTGCTTGTGTTGGAGAATCTTTTCTCATTTGGATAAAATTTTTAAAAAAGTCTTGGGGAAGCAAGTTTTCATAGCTTTGTGTAAGCAGGTTCAAATACCAGTTAAGAAAAAAAAGTTTGGTTTTAAATTAATATAATTTAATATGTTTCTTCTTTCATTCAGTATCTATGTTTCTTTTCATACTTCATTTCTTTCATGTGTCTCTTTATTCTTTGTTTGAAAAAGCTAATGGCTTCTAAGGTCTGTCTGTACTAGAGAGTTTTGTTGTTCCCCACCACCAGTTCAGGTATGTTGTGCCACTGTAATGTCTGGAAAAGTAAGTCTGACAAATACTCTGTTAACATTGTGGTGGAGCTGACATAGTCCTCCCATTTCAATGCCCAGAGTGCTATTTCCTACCTTTCAAGCTGGTTTTGATTTGCTTTGTGTTCCGATATGGATGACATCTCTTGGGAGACATTAGAGTGCCTGGGCCATTAGCTGCCTGGGCTTCTCCATGCTGGAGAGCACTATGAAGTGTTAGTATTAGGATGTTCAAGGATTAAGAGATAACTTTATGATAACTCTTGCTCTGCTGTTACGAAACAGCAAACACCAAAACCAGTATATAGCAAGACACTCCTGAACCTGAAAATAGACCGTTAGGAGGAGAAAATTATTAAAAAAATCTGTTAATGGATCTGTTGGTTCTCAGACCTTGCATGCTGTAAGTAAGTTTGAATTTATGAAACCCTGAACTTAATTCAGTGTGGCTGTGATAAGCCTGGTCTTCTGGAAGCTGAAGAGCCTCTGTCGGATGCCTGCCCTCCAAAGAAAGCAGAGACTGAAAAATGCAAGAGTATTCAGACTTAGAAACTACAGAAACAGATCCTTTAAGCAAAACTGCTTTGTAATAAATAAGCCATCTATTCTGACCAGTTTTCAACTTCCTCTTGCTTTCTTCTCTTTTGGTAATAATTGTAGATCTCATGGCAAACAGCTGAGCAGCAGCTCCAGTTCAACAGGAGGGAGCCTGTTGCAAAACCCCTTGTGTTGGGCCTTGCCACACACATCTCTGGCTCTTAGAGGGAATACAAGAAGAAAGAAAAACTAGTTTGCACCAAGCACCTAGATAGAGAGACTGTTCTTGGCTTTGAGTTTGGCATTAAAATTATATACTGTAGTGACTAGCCGACAAAATATAACAAAAATTCAAAATTAGCAAAAATGAGACAGTTACCCCTCCACTGCATCTACCAGCTGTGGGTGGGAGGGTGTTCATCGCAGACTCCTGGGCCCCTGAGACTTGTTGCAGTGGGTAGAGGGAAGCAGTCCCAGCTTTCCTGCAACAGCACGAGGAGGGATTGAGCAGCCTGCAGGCGGGATGTGAGGAAAAAACACCTTGAGATGAGCACAGTTGGAAGAGCATCTTCCAGCTAAGAACTTTCCACAGTAGACACGGGCGAAAGCAGTGCTGAAGCCTGGCTCTTGAATGTGGACACAAAACCACTGCAGGGACCGCTGGCAACGTGTAGCTGCAGGGTTTAACCAGAAATCCCGGATGCTCTGCTAGTGCAGACAGACCTTAGGCTGTGTTATGTCACTGGCCTTAACCGCTGAGCTAACATTGATGTGAGACAATACCCTTAACAATAACCGCATCTGAGCCCTCCTATTCCAGGTCAAATGGATTATCTCATTCCTGGAGTGAAAGGATCCCAGACACAAAACATATTTCAGACATTTGTGAAAATGGGAGGCCTAGGAGCAATTCTTGGCAAGGTAAGTGTGAACCTCTGTGCTGGCCACAGTGGAAACCAGCCTCTGAGCCATTGCTGCTCTGCTGAAAGTTCGGCTGATCTTAGGACAGCAGCATGACTCCTTAAAATTGTGCTAATTGTTATTAACCTGGAATTGGGATTTAGAAGCACCCTACACAAGTACCTTTTTTGCACAATGCTTTGGCACATAGAAATGACATTTAATGTCTCCCATTCCTCCAGTGTGAGCTAACATGAAAAAGAGGAAGACGTCTATTCACTCTTGGCAGCTTCTGTGATTTTTATCAGGCAGTGTTTAGTGTTTCTCTTGAAGTGTAGTGACTTTCTCAAATGAAAGCTGAAATTAAGGAGTTTTTTTGCTCTGCGCAGTTGCAGCAAAAAGTAGAGAAAGATCACCTAAGTGTCAAGTTTACCTGGTCTGAGGTAAATCAAGAGGGACTGACCTGTGACTTTTAAATGGTTAAAGCTAATGAGGTAACGAATCTTTGGCTGGGGATGCAAAAAGAATATACAGTTTGGCATGGGACGCAGGTGAGTTTCAAGTTGTTTTACCATCTGTCTTTATCCTTTGATTTCTTTCAGGTAATATAGGAGGAAACAGAAAGAAAGTCAGAGGCAAAAGATTTAGGCCACGGTCTAATTCAACTGAGTAAGTCTGAACTTATAAAAGCAAAGCCAAAAAGTACAGTTTTCATATTTGTGTTTTGTAGACGGAGATTAAGAGTACTGAAAAGTAGACAGCTGCATTTTTGCTCTGTGGCCCATTCTGCTTGCTGACTGATAATCTGGTAAATGGTTTGGTAGTGTATTTCAACCTCTTTTTATGTATTCTTTAAAAATTAACTATCAATTTTCTTTTTTATGTAGGCTTCCTCACAGTCGTTCCCATAGCAATTCCCAATGATGGTGGGAGCCTGCACCATCACTGCAGGCTTTTGTCTACAGTAAACTGCCATTGCTGAGTGTATCCTGGTTCAATACTGAATTTCTGATAACCTGTTTCCTACCCTTCTCTTCACCTTGGGTTGGGCCATTGCAGAGTTAGAGATTTGTATCTCTGTCTACCTACCTGAAGGTTTTAGGAGAGGTATCTGTCTGCTTTGAGAGTACCCTGAGGTTTATTGTTGTAAGCCTGAAAGAGCCAGTCTTGAGTAAGCCCTGCAATAAATGGGTAATGAGAGTCCTTACCAAGCAACTGATCCCCAGACCTTTCCAGTATGGCTTAGAGTTGCTTTCTATATTGATTTGTTGGTTACATTTACTGAAGAGCCCATATGTGCAGTGCTCCCCATAGGGAAAGAGCCTTTCTTATGTACTTAAGCCTGCTGGTTCGGGCTCCTTTTGTGAATGAACAGTGAATGACTGGAAACATAATCTCTGGGCTTGTCAAGCACTGGCCTGCTCTTACAGCACTTATGCCACAGGGGAGTGACCCCTTCTTTGACCATAGTGGTGAAGACAGTGCCCTTTCCCTGTGTCTTCAGTACTAACTTTACACCTGTATGGGGAAATGGGCTTGGTACCAACACTGCTGGAAACTAATAATGCTAACTCCTTCTCTGGGCCCTGCTTTCTTCCATTTGGGGATTTTGAGTTTGTTCTGAAACTTTTCTTCTACCTGCAGTGCACTGTCTTGAGGTGAGTAGGCTCAGAAAGGTTCATAGAGAAGACCCTCTGTTACAAGTTACAGAAATAATAGTTTGATGCACATTGCAATTATAACATTGCATGGTCAAAATGGCAACATAGAACCAGAAATTTTAATCCAGATCCCCTGAAGGAGTTTATCTGTCAAGTGGCCCTGTGCTCTTGGTCTTTGTGCTGATAAACTCTTACTGGAATGTTATTTTGCTCATTTTCTCTTTGCATGAGACAGTTTGATAAAAGCAAAACTAGTCTGACCAAACTGCCAAGAATACAAATGAGACTGCACATTCTTCTTTAGAAACTTGTCCTGTGCTTCCCTTCATTTTTCTTAAACAAAATTTGTTTAAAAAAAAAAGTTTAAATTAATGATACCATTATTCTATCATTCAGCAGAGGTGTACACTGGGGCTGAAGTGGTCCATAAAGAATGAAACCAGATCAGCTCTTTTTGGCCTAGAGTGAGCGTAACTGCATGGGAAGAATATTGTTTTCAGTAAGAGCAAAAAACCCCAATGGGTGTATTTTTTCCTCTGTGCTGCTCAGCTGGTATATTACACATTTTCTCTGAGAACTGTGAAGCACTAAATAAGTGGGTAGACAGAGTGCGAGCTGGAAATCTTTTTCCCTGTAAGTTTTTTTTTTCTCTTTTAAAGGTGCCCCTGAATTTCCACCTAATTCTCTGCTTTCCTTCTTGCTGCTTGTTTATGGTCTCTCAACCCAGCAGCAGCCCTGGTGCTAGAGGGAGGAGGCTTGTACTTCCCAAGGGCTGTGCAGCAGCCCGTTGGGGATGAAGCACAGCGTGTGTGTTCCTGGGAGAGACCTGCCGGGCAGGAAAATGCTCTTTCTCCTGACGGGGTCTATCCTGAATTGCCCAGGACTGCATGGCTTGTCCGAGTCTCCTTGGCAAGCCTATCACCCCTTCTGCTGAATGATCCACGTACTGTGCCAGTTTGGTGGTGACCGGAGAGACGTGCCGAGGGCACGCAGTGGCTCTGGTTAGAGAGAGAGCTTCCTTTGCGAGCAGAGAAAATTGACTGAGAATGATCTAACCGTGGCCAGCATTTACTCATTTAGGAGAACAAAAAGCAATGCCAGCTGCTTTGAGGATGCTTCGGAATACATGGAGGCTTTTCCCAGACAAATTTACCTTTTTACCTTCTCTGGTAAGAGAAGAATATTGAAATCTGTTCTGAAATGGTGGATGGCATTTGGAAAGTCCAACTGTGTGGCCCCTGGGGGTCCGATCAAGCACCGTGGTTGAGATGGAAGACAAGGGATAACACTGTTGGTCTCCTGGTAGTAGTAGAGACAGTGAAGTTAACCAGTAGAAAATTGGGTTCATTTGTTCATACCTTGTTCAGAATTCAATTTCTTTTTAAGCAGATGCACACTAGTACAGTTGCCTACAAAAGTATTTGACATATGCATGAGTCTGCAGTAACTGCACATATTGTGCACAAGTTTTTTTTTGTATACAGCCAAGCACCAGATAGAGACTCATGCCATTAATCATCTAAGCAAAATTTCTTAAGCACTGAGCAAGGTTTGAGCTCTGCAGCCCTCATGAGCAGCACTGACAGGAGGGTTGCAAGCACACTGGGCAGTTCCTGAAAAATGTACTGCTCACGCCTTTGTGTGATCCCTTGTACCTAACAGATACATGAACAGGGCTTCTGCTAAGGATATAGCTCTGTGGAGACTGCTAAAGCTCTTCTGGGATGTTTTTAATTGTTTCTCAATCTTTGAAAATAAAATTCATGTTCTTTACTAAAGGCAGATGGTTCAGTTCACACAGAAGGAATGCCAACGGGCCAAATGTTTCTGCAGCTTTTCCACAAACAGAGTTGATGAAATGGCCTGATAAAACAAGTTTTCTATTAAAATCAATTAGAGTTGTTCAGGAATGATAATGAGAGTTTTCTGAATAAGCTGACAGTTTAATTGGGAGCTTGTGTTAAAACAGGTCCCAGGAAACATGAGTTTTGCCAAACAGCAATTCTGACCTTTGTTAATTTGCACTGCTTTTCCTATAAGCGTTTGTCTTCCTCGTTGTTGTAACTGATACGAACATCTTTGGCTTAGACTTTCTATTATATATTGTCTTTTTGCAGCAGGGTAACCCATGCATCTGAGCCTGGGCTTTCTCTCGCCCACCAAATCCCGGCCCAAGGCATAAGCCCAGGGGGTTCTGACCACCCCCAAACAGGGAGTCGGGATCACAGGTCAGTCTCACCTGCCCCTGCGTTCTGGGCTGCCATTTTATCCCGTGAAAAGTCCCTTCCCTCAGTATACAGTAGTTTCACTGTGGCAAAACACCGTGACTGCTTGGAGGTGCTCCTGCTGATGCAGCGCTAGCTAACCTTCCTCCTCGCCAGCCTGAGGAGTACAAGTACTCTTGAGCCCAGGTCTTTTGCCTTGTTGCATGTTGCGCTACAAGCCAAATCGAGCCGTTGGTCTAGCTATAGGCTTACGTGTAAGGACACCTGTGTTTTAAAGCGGAATTTCTCACTCAAAATGTGGATTCTGGCCATTGCTAATGAACATGTGGCCAGGGAGATCAACCTGAGAGCTTTCTAACGGTATCACATAGTGGTCTGCAGTAACTCAAGTTTAACCTTTCTGTAACAGATGAATTGAGGTGGTGAACAACGGTCTGTGATACAACCAGACCCAGGAAACCCTGCAACACGGTTGTGCAGCAACTGCATGCTTTGATACCACATTACACTTTGTTTTCTAATACAGGAAGCCAGATTGGGAGTGTTTCATGGTTACCAAAAGACCCTTTCAGATGAAAAAAAGCAAGTCAAAAGTACTGCAGCAAGTACAAGAAAATGTGTAGTCGCACCTACAATTAAAGCTAAAGCAGAAGTTTATTAGTTCCTGGTGATGCTGGCGTCAGCCTGTTGCTTCACTTGCGGTTCATCTGTTGCTGCGCTACCACTTTTGACGTTTTCTTTCTCTAAGAGCCCGAGCTGGAAAGCATAAAGCACTCCTGATTCCTGATAAATAAGCGAGCTGAGGAAGCTACTTAGAAGCACTTGTGGCTGAGGGCGAGTACTTTCTGAGAGCTGTGGCTGTGCTTGCGCGGGGCGGGGAGGAGAAGTTCCAGAGCAAAAAAGGAGCAAAAGAAGTCGAAAAGTGCTGCGGCTTTTGTCATCAACGTGGTTTGAAATATGGTGGGGATTGAATGACATGGTCTGGCCCAACCTTTACTCATCTGAGCAATCCCTTGCGAGGCCTGTTCCCATGTGTGAGGTGATTGGAGTCACTCTCATAAACAAGGGTGGTGAGAACTGGCCCAGAAATATTGAAAATAACTTAAAGAGGAATTTTCTTTCCCTTTTTCCTTCGTTGCAATTTGTTTCCTATTTCACAGTGTGCTAGTATCTATTATATAAAGATGGTGATCACAAATAACCGTTAAACTGTTGCTGTTCTTACACAACAAGAACAGACTTTAAATTGGACTGGGCAGACTCCTGTTTCTACATTGCCCTTTTTTTTTTAACATGACAGAAGGGGAGGAATTCGCTAGTCTTGTTATTGGGGGCTAAGAGAAACCAGTTACAAAAAAAAAAAAAAAAAAAAATTATTCTTCCCTGGTAATAATCAGATAATTAAACACTGTCTTTATTTCATAGTTTTCATGTAACATGAGTATGCAGCTCAGACTTTTCCTAAAAAGTGTGGGTTTGGTATCAAGATTGCTTCTGTAAAATGTGAGATAACTCTGCGGCCCCCTCCATTAAAGCTTCTTGTGGTCCTACCAAATAAAACGATCACTGAAAAATCAGAGGGTTATTTGCACATAAGTGTAAAAATTGCCACTGTAGTGGCAAACAGTTCAAGCCTTTGAACACACCGAGGCCGAAATTCATTCCTGCAGAAAGGGCCAAGCCCAAGTTTCTGTGCTCATTAAGCTGTTATCTTGCAATTTATTCTAGATGGGTGCAAACATGTGCCTTCAACAGGCAAACTGCAGGATTGGAGCCAAAATGC